CCCCCCCCCCGCCCCCGTTTGCCTCTTGACGGAGGAGAGGGGTTCAACAGGCCAACATGGCGAAAGAGGTCATGCTGTGTCTCACTCTCTCCTTTCCAAGTCAAATGTCTGCACATTGGGCACAGTGGCTCTTCTGAAAGTCACAGGGACCACAGTGATGTCAAAGCCCATGGACGTTTCTAGGGCCTGGCTTTGACTCAAGGCAACATCTTCTTTTAAGAGCCTTCTTCTCCTTTGGTTGTCATGACATTCCTCTCCTGCCTTTCCCCATCCCCACCCCCAGTCTCTTTTTCTGTCCTTTTAATTCCGAGTTCTGTCTCCTCTCCTCACACTACACGCTTTCTCTAAAGTCAGCCATCTGTGTGCTGAGGGCTCCTGGAGCCTGCTCCCACCTCTGGGTTCAGACGGCCAGCCCCTGCCGGGCACCTTCACTGGACCCTGTCATCCGTCCTTCAGGGCTCACCGCCAGTGTCTTATCCCGTCTCTTCCCTCTCCCTCCTTCTCATTTCCAGTCACCAAGTCCTGTCCATTCCTTTTCCTCCAGAACTCTCCTGCCAGCCCTCACTCTTCCACTTCCACTGCCCCCCCCTTCCTCTTTTGCCGGATTATTGTAACAGACTCCTCTCTGATGTCTCTGCCTCCAGAATAGCCAAAGAGTTTTTGCAAAACTTGATTTGCATTTCTAAAATGCAAACTTGATCCCATCACTCTGTGGCTTACAGTCAGTGCCCCAGCACCTTTGAGATTAAGTCCTAACTTATGGGCTGGGCCCCCAAGGCTGCACACTTCTTAAGAGGGCCCTGGGAGGATGTTGCCAGTGTTTCACGTATAGGCTTTGCCACTTCCTAGTTGTGTAATTTGGGCTGGTTATTGAACCTCCTTGAGCCTCAATGTCTCCATATGGAAAATAGTAAAGATTGTAATGGATCACTATTAGTTCATTTGCTAAGATAAAGTGCTTAGGGCCTGACTGGTCATGATCGCTCAGTTACTACGACTGCTATTATTAATGTCTGGTCCTTGCGTGATTCCTCAGCCACTGCCTCCTCACCTCCCATGTGACAACCATGCTGACTCATTTACAGATGCTTACATGCACTTCGGTCCCAACTCTCTCTGCTGATCCTTCTTTACCTAGTTGACCCTTACATACCCCACCCGCCCCCCGCCAACACTCAATTCAGAAGCTCCCTCCTCCCTACTCCCCGACTCCAATCTGGAGGAAGAGGCCTTTGATGTGTCTCCTCCAAGATAACTTAAATCACTACTTTAAAAAAAATGTTTAGGGGCGCCTGGGTGGCTCAGTCGGTTAAGCGGCTGACTTCGGCTCAGGTCATGATCTCATGGTCCGTGGGTTCGAGCCCCGCGTCGGGCTCTGTGCTGACAGCTCAGAGCCTGGAGCCTGTTTCAGATTCTGCATCTCCCTCTCTCTGACCCTCCCCCGTTCATGCTCTGTCTCTCTCTGTCTCAAAAATAAACAAATGTTAAAAAAAAAAATTAAAAAAAATGTTTATTTATTTTGAGAGAGAGAGGAAGTGTGAGTGTGTGTGTGTGTGTGTGTGTGTGTGTGTGTGAGATCAGGGGAGGAGCAGAGAGAGAAGGAGAGAAAGAATCCCACGCAGGCTCCACACTCAGCCTGGAGCCTGATGCAGGGCTTTAGCCGGGGATCATGGCCTGAGCCAAAATCGAGTTGGACGCCTGACCAACTGAGCCACCCAGGCGCCCTAAAGCACTATTTGTAATTGTTTCCTTGATTGTTTCCCTCACCACATCCTAAGTTACTCAAGAGAAGGAAGTATGTATTCCTGGCACCCCATACAATTCCTGGAGTAGAGTGTGTATTCAATAAGCATTTGTGAAATTAATGAGGAATCGCTTTGGCAGAAGCACCAGAGTGGGGGAGAGCCTCCTTTGTAGAGGAAGGAGACGTGTCTGAGTAGCCGAAGGACATGGGGTGAAGTGGAAATTTTTGCTAGAAAGGGAAGTAGGCTCAGTGAATATGGTCCTGGGGAACGTGGACTTGATCTCTAGGTTCAGAAAGGTCCTGCAGCAGGTGTG